ACTCCCTCTAGCCTGCTATATTTCTGCTGAACATCTCATAATCTAGTAGAGTTTCCTTGTAAGTAACAAATTGCTTTTAAGATTCTCTCTTTAACTTTTGACAATTATTTAATGTGTTGATGTGGGTGTTTTGGGATTCCTCTTAATTGGAACTTTTCAGTTTTCTTGGATCTGGATGTCGATTTAATTCCCCAGGTTAGGGCTATTTTCAGATATTTTTTTCTTTGAATAAGCTCTCTGCCCTCTTATCTTTCTTCTGAGGTCCCTATGATGCAAATATTGGTCCCATGTGTCCCATATGCTGTCTTCACTCTTTCTCATTTTCTTTTTTCTTCCCTGATTAGATCCCCTGCCCTGTCTTTGAGTTCATGGTTTCTTCCAGTTTCATTTGTTGAGTCCATGTTTTGAACCCTCTATTGAATTTTTCAGTTCTTTTTTTTTTTTTTTTTAATTTGCAGCATTGTGGCATGTATGGCTTTTTTTTCCTCTTTGTTGAAATGTTCACTTTATGCATGTATTGCTCTGACCTTGATGAGCATCCCTATGACCATAATTCTTAACTCTATCAGATAAATCATTAATCTTCAAGGTCTATTTCTGACTTTTTGTTATTCTATGTGGAACGTTTCTGTATTTCTTCATCCTTTTTGACTCTCTGTGTTGATTTCTGTGTATTAGGTAACAGTCATAGATAACATAGTTGAAGGTTTGCCAAGTTCTCTGTCTTTTTTTTATTTTTTTATTTATGATAGTCACACAGAGAGAGAGAGAGGCAGAGACACAGGCAGAGGGAGAAGCAGGCTCCATGCACCGGGAGCCCGACGTGGGATTCGATCCCAGGTCTCCAGGATCGTGCCCTGGGCCAAAGGCAGGCGCCAAACCGCTGCGCCACCCAGGGATCCCCCAAGTTCTCTGTCTTAAAGGGGAGAATCTTAGCGTCTAGATGCAGGCTGATTGGAAGCTGGACCCTCAGGCAGAAGCTTTAAAAGTATCCAAGTAGCTATCCTTCATGGAACTGTGAGCTGGGTGTGTCTCTCTGCTTTTTCTGCACTGAACCCTGGGGTAGTAGCTACTTAAGAACTGTTTCTGGTTAGCTACCGTCCTGGGTGACCTATGAACACAAGCTCCTTCCAGTGATGTTGGTGTTCTGGATTGGGCTACAGAGAGAATGCAGGCATGGTGTCTGCTGGCTTCCCTGGTCTCCGAGTAGAATGGTAGTCTCTCCCTAGAAGTGAGCTAAATTAGACGACTGACCCTTAGGCTGCAGCTTTTAAGATATACAAATAGGCCTCTTTCAGGAAAAGACTGAGATAAGGACATTTTTGCCTACTGATTTTTTTTTTAAGACTATTTATTTATGAGAGACACAGAGAGAGGCAGAGACATAGGCAGAGGGAGAAGCAGGCTCTGTATGGGGATCCTGATGCGGTACACAATCCCAGAACCCCAGGGTCATGACCTGAGCCAAAGGGAGATGTTCAACCACTGAACCACCCAGGTGCCCCTTGCCTACTGATTCTTTATTGAGCCCTGGGCATGTAGCTGGTTAAGAACCGTTTCTTTGTTAGACGGTCTTGTTCAGCCCACAAACACAAGCCTTACTGGCCACCAGTGTCAGGCAATTAAGGAATGTGCCCTCTGGGTGCAGCTGCAAGAGCTAGTGCACCAGATAATGTGCCAGCCCCTTTTAGGAAGACACCAGTGACCTAGAGCAGAGCAAAGGGAGAATGCAGAGACGATACATGCTGGCCTCTGGAGAGGATAGCAGTCTGTTCCTGGATGTGTGCTAAATTAGTCTGCTAAATCAGACTTTCAGGCAGCAGCTTATAGGATATGCAAATAACGCTCTTTTAGATGGGGAAGGAAATGGACATTTTTCTTTGCTGCCTCTGCTGGGATATCCACAGTAAGTCCAAGCCACTTAAGAACCTTTGTTCTTTGGTTGTTGTAGCTGTGGGTCTTATGTGCACCAGGCTTGATGGCTTTCAAACCTAGGTGTCTTGAGGGGGGCTCATCCCTCAGATGGAAGTCTTAAAAGTTGGGACATAGATGTTGCATCCCAACCTGTCAGTCCTCAGGGAGCATATAGAAGTTCCTTCCTGACTGCTGCTGTCAGAAGGGGGGTTTTGGTAAGAGCGTGTCTAAGCCTCTCCAACCCCTTTTGATGTGTGTCTTTTCCTTGTTTGCCCATAATTTCTCAGCTAGTTTCTGGCTTCTTTTCAGAAGGAATTGTTTCATGTGTAGCTGCAGACTTGGTGTGTCCGTGGGAGGAGTCAGGAGACGCCTGTATTGCTGTCTTGACCAGAACTTCATTTATTTTAAAACTCAGTAATTAGGTGCATATACATTTAAGATTGGTACATCTCTGGACTTTTGTTATGAAATATCCATGTCTAGTAATACTTGTCTTGAAGTTGCCTTTCATTGTAGTGTTTGCATCCTATGTCTGTGTCTTTAATCTTTTTACCTTTAACCTATTCAGTGTCTATATTTTCTTAAGCCTCTTTAAACAAGGTATTATTGAAGCTTGCTTTTTATCCACTATGAGGATAGTTGCATTTAAATTGATGATGTTTAATCTATTTACATAATCTGTGGTTGGGTTAAAGTCTGTCACCACGTTTCTTTGTCCCATTTGTCTTCTTTTCCTCCTTTGGATTCAGCAGGTATTTCTTAATATTCTATTTTATTGCCTCTATTGGCTTTATAACTACACCATTTACAGTTTCTTAAATAGTAAGGATACATTCTTTACTTGCTATAGGCTACCTTAAATAACATACCATTTATGCCTGTATCATGTATAGGTCATAAATGTGTATTCCACTAATCCTATTATTTATGGCATACATTTTTTAAAGATTTAAAATTTTTTTCATTTATTCATGAGCAGCACAGAGAGAGGCACAGAGACACAGGCAGAGGGAGAAGCAGGCTCCCTGTGAGGAGTCCGACATGGGACTCGATTACAGGACCTCGGGATCATGACCTGAGCAGAGGGCAGATGCTCAACCACTGAGCCACGCAGGGGCCCCTTATGGTGTAATTATATATTTTACTTCTACATATCCTGTAGAAGAAGAAACTCTGTTTTTTAAATTTTGCTTCAAATTGTTTTAAATACACTTTTATTTTCATCAGTTAACTGGATTTTAAATAATTTAGGCTCTAGAAAAATAATTCTTATCTGTCATTTCTGGCACTGTTTTTTCCTTCATAAATATATAGGTTTCATCTGGAATCACGTACCTTCAGTGTGAATAATTTCCTTTAATATTTTGTGTAGTGCAGTTCTCCTGAAATCAGATTTTTTCAGCCTTCATTAAATTTAAAGGATATAGAATTTTATGTAAAGATTGGCATTTAGAGGGATCCCTGGGTGGCGCAGCGGTTTGGCGCCTGCCTTTGGCCCAGGGCGCGATCCTGGAGACCCGGGATCAAATCCCACGTCGGGCTCCCGGTGCATGGAGCCTGCTTCTCCCTCTGCCTGTGTCTCTGCCTCTCTCTCTCTCTGTGTGACTATCATAAATAAATAATAAAAAAAAATTAAGATTGGCATTTAGAGTTTTAGTTTGACAGGTTTTTTTAAGCACATGAAGACATTTGTCTCTTGTCATTTGTTCATTATCATTCTTCCCTGTTATGTATCCTTTTTCCTGTCTGCTTTGAAAATTTCTGTTTTCCAACAGTTTGATAATGATGTGCATAGGTGTGATTTCCTATGTATTTGTCTTTTTTTTTTTTTTTTTTGCAGTTTGTTTCTGTGCATTGCTTGTTTTTTTTAATCAAATTTGGAAATTTTTCAGCTTTTATTTCTTCACATTTTTCTGCCTTGGTTGCTCTCCCTCTCCTACTAGATTCCAGCTGTACAGGTTAGATCACTTGCTATTTATCCCATATGTTAAAATCTGTTCATTTTTTTAATCCTTTTAACCTCTTTATGCTTCAGTTCGGATAGTTTCTAAAGATAAACTAAGTTCACATACTTAGACTGCCTAAAACACTAAGAGCTGCGCCTAAATCTTATTATTTTTCAAACCCTAAAGAGATGTTGCTTTTTAAACATTTTTTTCAAGAGCTAGATAAGGGATGAAGGAGACATCAGAGTATGAATAACTAGTGAATTATTTAGTGCTTTCTTCCACCTCCTGAAAGCTAGTTGAACTGAAGAATAAAAGATTTAGAAATACGGGAGAGAAATTGGTTAAGAGTACAATAGTATGGTATATCTGTACCCTACGAGAGTGAAAAAGGTCATTTTCAATTCAGAAGTGAATTGGTAATAGAAGACCAAGGTAATAAGAAAAACATCCAACCCAACTCATTCAGAGCTCAGAAGAACAGACAAGCAAGAATGTGCTCAATCCTACGCAGTCAGAGGATGTTATACCATTCCAACAGGTGTGAAATTTGAAAGTTACCGTTACAGCATACCATACTATAGTGTTTCTAATCTAAGGTAAACGTAATCACACATGGCACATATCAAGACTAAGAATTCATCCATTTACCTAAAACAGCTACTTGTAGAAGTGTATTATAAACATTTGTTTTAAGGAAAATTGTACTATAACCACATAACAATTGGACAGGAAAATACTAAGGAAAAGGGAATAACATTCAATAAACACATTCCAGATGAAATAAATTTTACAAAAAAAAAAAAAGATGACTGAGAAATTCAATTTGCCATGAAGAACTTCAGAAATCAGACTTTTTTGCCTAGCACTACAAATTCTGGAAACTTGTGTGAAAATACAGACATTAAGCACATCTAAATAAATATAAATCAAGATAGGGCATATAATTCAATAAATAACCATACGATAAGCTGCTATGTCATCTCCAATGAACAGATTTCAAAGTAATCATCACGGGAATGGGAAAGACAGGTTTTAACCTTAAATAATTCTAGCAATACCCAAATACTATTACAATAGTAGAGGTATTTATGCCCAAATGTTAGTTTTAATGACAGAAACTCAGTATTCACACAGGGATAAGTAGTTTCACAATTTATTGAATTGCAAATTAGATTATTATGCTAGTTAGAGAATAAATCTCCAAAATATCTTTGCAGGTTCCTGTATGTCTAAATGTATGCCAACATTATTGGACTGTTTAAATTATTAGAAGCTAAGAATATGAAGTACTTATCAAGGTTCCAACAATAAAAATATTTTTTAAAATACCGTATTTGGTAATAAATTAGATTTATAGAAATTGAGAATTCAAAATAAATTAAACCTGAGTTATAAGTGCCTCCTACCCTGCCCACCCCCAGAATACATAACTTATATCACATTCTCTTTTATACCAGTGTGCCTCAAACTTTAATAAGCATACATAATAATTCCTTGAAGATCTCATTAGATGCAGTTTCTGATTCAATAAGTCTGTTGTGGGGTCTGAGAGTCCACATTTCTAACAAGCTACAGATGAAGCTAATGCTGGTCTTTAGACCACCCTTTAAGCAGCAAGGTGACCTACTCTATAGTGAAGATGATTTCTGGCCTAATAGACTGTATAGTTTTAAAGATTATTCAAGGCTGTAAGAGATTTTGGAATCAAACATAACCACAAATGATCACAAAAAAATAGGCCTTAGAAGAAAAGAATGTTTTAGTTAAGTGAAAGCTTAAGGTATACCAAATTGGCAGTGTTTCTATTCATCCGACAATGACACCTTTCATACAATATAAATCAGGACACCAAGTTCTTGTAACTTTAAATAGTTACTATAGCTTGAGGCGCTCTTCCAGTTCATCCAAGTCCAGAAAATCCAAGCCAGTGCACTGCAAAACCAGTAAGAAAAATCTTTAATGGTTAACTGTCCATATAGATTACTTGTAAACTTGCTTTAGGCTATCCCATCTCCTCCTCCTCTTTCAACAAATAAATGCTTTTTCTTCTGTCTTGTAGCCAAACAGCGTGTAACAGCCAGTGCCCCTCCCTTTAAAAATCGAACAAAATTATCTCCAACCAAAGGACCCAATGCAAAGAGGTTGGCTTCTTTAACACATTCGTAGGTATATGCATCTATTTCCACAGGATTGTTCTTACAGGTGATTGGCTGGCTTGAGTTATGGCCCAGGTAACAGCCCTGCTCCTTCAGAAAGGACAGATTGGGATGAGAACCGATCAGTACTACGGCCGCAGAGAGCTTAAATACTTTTTTCAATCCAGAGAGGCTTTGAAGAATGCATTTCATGTCCGACTTAAAGGAAAGCACATGGTGCTCAGGAAAACTGGTATAATCAGATAAAAGATTTGAGTCTACAGAATATGACTGAGTACACATCATATGATAGACTTTATGGTATTCTGGATAAAGCTTTTTAGGAAGCTGTTTGAAAATTAAGCTTGGATCAGTTACTCGTCTGCGAAATACATGAATCACAGGAATGTTATTGTTGTAAGCACACAGTACCGCGTCGGCTGCAGTAAGCCCCGAACCTACAATTAACACCGGATCCACTTTGCCACGCAACTTTCCTTTGCTTATAGCAGCTCCAAACTCAGGCATTGAATGAAACACAAAAGGAAAATCTTCCCCTTCAATCTCCAGATGGGCAGGAGAATCCAATGTTCCAGTTGCCAGAGCTACATTCTCAGCAAAGAGACAGAAGGGAACATGGGACCCGTCTGCTGTTCGCTGATAACCCCTGACTTCCCAATTCCTCTTGATAAATTTTGACTTCTCTATCTGTAAATGCTGTGTTGAAATATTTCTGTCTTGTCCATCATCATCATCTTGATCTCTGTAGAGTCTTGATACAGAGGTGATATAAGTATTCTCTCTGAAATTCTTCTGAAGACCCATGACTTTTACATAATGTTTATAGTAGCGAGCTATTTCCTCGGGCATGACCCGATCCCCTTTTAGGTTCCTAAAAGAGAAAAAGGAAAAATATCCTGAGGAGAGTACTGTGACAGTTTCCACGATTATTCCCGCTCCATCTAGTTGGCTACCATTCAGATCTTTTTAATTCCTCTGGACTGTCTTAGCTATAAATTGACCTTTTACAAAGAAAAAGTTTTTTTCTTTAGTTAAAAATGTTAGTTTTATCAATAGAAGTCCCATGAAGTACAGACTGTATTTTAACGCATCTGTTTCCCCAGTGCCTTGCATAGGATCAGACTGGCTACCTTTATCAATAAATGTGTAAGTAAATGAACTGAAATGTGGAATTACAGACTTTTATAGTCTGTCTCACACCAATAATTCAGTCTATATACTCTTCAGCCTACATTCTGTAATGGACTGAATTAGATTATAATTATTTGAGAGCCTTGCAGGTCCAACTGTGGTATAGATAATTCTTAAAGATAGATGTGTCTGGGCGGCTCGGTCGGTTAAGTGTCTGCCTTTGACTCAGGTCATGATCTCAGGGTCCTGGGACCAAGCCCACATCGGGCTCCCTTTCCTTGCCCTGCTTGTACGAACTCTTTAATAAAAAAATAAAAACCTAATTCTTAAAGATCATATATGTATGATCTTGACATGATTTTTTTGTCATGATGACTGATTTTATTTTCCTGATGACTGAAAATAATTCACATCAGTCCTCTCAAAATCACCTAACATCTAAGTACTTAAAACATTTCTGTGTTTTCCTGTTCATAAAGAAACCTATAAATATAGTAAAATCCTTTTTTTCATAAAGAGCAGATCCTTTCATTTTCCACTTGAACTTTAAAGCAGTCATCAGTGCCCCCTCAACACTGGGCCCTGATTAGAGATAAGTAGCAGTAAAAACATATCAAATAATTTCACATCATCCATTACAAATTGTAACTGGAAGAAGTCCATAAAAGTTTTTCTTAAAATGTAATAATATAATTAAGATTTAGATTAACTCTCACTTTTCACAGAAACCTGATGTAGGTTTTATAAATGAGGAAATTAATAGCTAGTTTAAGTTACTTGACCCATGGTCACAACATTAGAAGTTACTAGGATTCAAACCCTGACAGCCTCTCAAGATCTGATGGTCAACACTATGCAAAGGCAGGAGGTGAAGCCAGTATTTAAACACAAGATTCAAAAACAAAACAAAACAAAAAAACCCCACAAGGTTCTTTTTCATATATTACTTCAATATACAACGTGCCCAATGTAAAAGGACGCACACTGCTAGCACAGAAAAAAAATCATAAAGCTTCCCCATTACCAGTATCACAAAAGGAAGAATGTTGAGCAATTTTCACTTGCTTGCTTATGAAAATCAAGAACTTGTTCAACTTGCCTGATTTTGTTACTTTTCATTTCAAACCCATATAAAATTCCTTTTTAAAAACTCCCAAAGGGGGGGTGGCCTGGCTGGCTCAGTCAGAACATGTGACTCTTGATCTCAGGGTCATGAGTTTGAGCCCCACGTTGGGTGTTGGGATTACTTAAATGAATAAATAAACCCCAAAAAACCAAAAGGAGTATTTGAAAAGTTTAATCTCAGTGATTCATGCTGGTCTGAATTTGCTCTTCTTAAATCTATGCAAATTAAGGATAATTTCTATGGATTAAGATGGTTTCTATCTAGCAGGAAGCCAAGCACTCAAATGTTTACAATCCTGTACTAACATAGGTTAAAGAACTTCCTGCTTTACTTATTCTTTCTGTGAGCAAATTAGATTCTCTGTATTAGTAATTCCCATCTAGTTTAATACTATCCTGGAAAATAAGGCTTTTCATATTATTTATCCTTTTAAATTTGGGGTTCTTTTTCCCCAAATAAACTTGTATCCTTCCACAAGAGATTTCTTCTCAATTATTTCTATTTTCATATTTCGTATCAAATCTTTACCTCTGTAGCCAATAGGGTAGCAAATCACATCACAGATTCTGGTTTATTCCACCATTCTACATTATGAACCATCAACACTCCCAGGCTCTGAAAGCCAAACACTACAGGTGTGTATACAGGAGATACCCATACACAAACCTGGATCGCCACTGATAAAAGTAAGTGTAGAATGGATGAGAAACTAAACAGTGGTTTAATAGGAGAGCAGGATAAATCCATAATCAACGAGGAACCTAGTCTATAGACAAGCCTTTACCGCTGTGTGCTTAGTTCTATAACATCTCTAAATGGAGACTAGCCCATCATCATTGCTGCAAAGAGGTTTTATCTGAAAGACACAAATTTGTATCATTCCTCTAAGAATCACAAAGTTTTTGAAATTGGCCAATGGACTCTCCCATTGTACATCAAAGAACTGTAACAGTTTGATCTTTACCTTCGTTTGCTAGATACCCAATCTTTAAATTTAAGTCCAGGTAGTTCCATCCAATTTCCAAAGCTGATTGTCAACATGGAACCTTCCATATTCTATGTGAATAAAAAAACACACAAACACATTTAAGCGGTAAGATGGATTTTTTAAAAAAACAAATACACTTTCATTCACTAAAATTAAGAGTCTGGATAAGGAGAATTAAAATAAGACCTAAATGGCTGTGTAAATTACAAACACTTTCATCATTTTGCAGGATCTATAGTCCTTCTTCCATAAAGTTAAGCCCTTATAAAACAAGTTTATGATACTGCCAGATGCCCAATGTTAATAGCTTCGGCCTGTAATAATATAATTCAGATACAGAGTGTGTTAGAGGAATACATCAGTATTTTCACTTTTTAAACAAAAGGAAAAAAGTTCATTAATTTCTAACACGTTATATATTCATTTTAATATTAACAAGTTTTTTAAGAAATGCGCAGAACAGCTTTTCCCCCCTCCCTCAATTAGAACTGCCAATCTAAGCTGGTTTGGATACAGCAGCAGCTCTTTCTAAAACCAGGGAAAGCACCAGTGGTTACCAGTTAAGAGGAGACTCCCCGCTGAGGCTACTGCTGCCTGTAAGGAAGTGAGCCCTTCCAGCTTCCTTGTCCTGCTTCTCTCTGCGCTGCTCACTACAAAGCAACCAAAAGCCCAGGGCCAACAGCACCTGTCCCGACGGCCTCCATGATCACTTTCAACCAACTCTTTTAGAAAGAGAACTCTGGCTTTGGTACGGAGATTGTACTAAAGAAGAAAAGAGTGGAGTAGGCAATCTTTCCAATAATTTGGGTCAAAGATGATGATGGCCAATACAGCAAAATTACAATCACGGTGGGGAAAAGTAGGGTGGAAGGACTCACAGTATGTTTATGAGAAAGAGTGGAGAAGATACAATAATGGGTTTGAATTGGGAGTTGGGGAAAGAACCACCAAGGAATGTTTCTGGCTTGAGGAACTACAGCCCAGTGCTACTACCCCGTAAGGAAATAAAGAAATCAGATGATAAAGGTGACTGGTTATGTAGGCATGCGGAGTTTGGGAATCAAACTCAAGGGAAGGTGTCTCGATGAATATACAAGAGATAGTAACATGGGCCAGGGATCTTGATTTGGGAATCACTCAACATGCACATGCTAGTCACTGAAGTATATGAGACAAGCCAGGGAGAATGAAGAATATAAAGAGAGGACCTTGGACTGGCACAGAGTTTACAGACAAGTCCACAAGATAACTGAAAAGGAGTGACCAAACAGGAAGAAAGACAAGGAGATGAAATGTTCAGCAAATCTAAGAGGGGTATCTTCACTGTCAAATGCTGCAGAGGTCAGGAAAAGATAAATTTTGAGACTGTCAAACTGAGCAAAAAGGGAAGATAACAACCTTTAAAAAGAGAAATTCCACCAGAAGAGGCAGTGACAGAAGCTAAAGTGAAGCTAGCTAAGGAACAGGAGGTAAGGCATAGGAGTAATGGATAGGTAACTATTTCAAGAAAGTGGCTCTAAAGCAAAGACTACAGATAAGCTAGCACATAAAACTTAATAATTGAGAATAATTTTAGTATATTTATATACTGAGGGACAGAAACTGGCAGAGAAACTTAAGATACAAGAAGATAAGGTGAAAATCAAATAAGCAGTGTCCTTGGAGAAGACAGAGGTCCAGAATATGTCTGGAAGGTTAGCTTAGACGTGCTACCACTTGCACAATGACAGGGGATAAGACACAAAGAGGCAGCATGAATGCAAGTAAGTTTGCAAGTCTGAGTGTAAAATTATGCAAGTTCAATCCTGATGGATTCTGTGTTCTAAGAATCAAGAGTATTCCTAAGTAGGAAGGTGGGAAAAAAAGGGATTGAGAACTGAGAAGAACATTCAAAAAAGAAATATCAAAGGATTACCAAGTAGTGTTCAGGACCCAAATGAGGTTGGAGAATACTTTTCACAGTTGTAGGACCTTTTTTTTTTTTTGTCTGGCAATGTTTAATAGCCCAAGTAGAGGAAAAGATAAAGTGGACAGTTTTATGAATTGCTTTTTTTTTTTTGTCAAGCTCATGTGACAGAAGGACAATGGGTCAAAAGCACTAAGGAGAATGGTTGTTAAACTACAGAACTTAAGCGGGTAAGTAAGGAGGTTAAGATCAGAGCTTCAAACTCTGTGTGTGAAGATTCAGTAGGGTGACGCAGCTGGAAGAATAAAAAGTTGTGTTCATAAAGTAAGAAATTTGAAAATTTAGATTTTCACTGAGTCGTTACTGTAGAGGCGCTGGAGTTAGTATCCAAGGAGGAATGGAAGAGATCGTTGAAAATGAAGCGATTAAGAGACTAAGAGGTTAAGATGTTGCTTGTGTCACGTATGTAAAGTTACTCGAGTTGACAATAAAACCTGGGATATAACGACAGACCGTGACTTAGGAACCACAGATTCAACAACTGATGGGAACATTCCGGGAGGTAGAGGGGCCAGGCATGACCTTGTTCAAAGGAACAGGAACTTCGATGGAAGAGCACTGCGGAATAAAGAGAACACCGATGTCACTAGTCAACCTGACAGGACACAGGGCCGTGAGAGAGTGAACAAACTCCACTCAGGGAGCTGCAGCGAGAATGGTATCTTCAGGAAAACAAGATTTCAAGGAAGGGAGTGAAAGCAGCTCATAACTGAAGTGGTTAAGAGTATACAGAAGCTTATTTATTAGCAAATGGAGTTGTAGGGGTCCATGGTTAGAGTCTGGAGGTGAGGAGAGGTGAGCCACTGGGTCACGAGAAAAGCAGAGAACTACGCAGGAATGACTGGGAGAGGACAAATGACTTAGGGGGCCTACATCCTGAGTAATAACCACGGTTAACTAGGATGTATATGAGGCATGGCGGGGCGGGGGGGGGGGGGCTGTCTATAACGACAAACAGTACTCGGGTCAAGAACCTGAAGATTAAGGTATGGAATGCAGAGGTGGGAATAAATAATTATGCCCCCGGAAAAGTCAAGTAACTTCATAGAAGTGATGTTTGAAAAATGGATAATAGCTAAAATATCATTTATTTATATCCCTCTTCTAGTGGGTATCATATGATGCATGAAAAAAATTCAGCAAATTTTCAGTACATTTCAAGCTTTACCACTGATTCAACTGTGTTTTTAGTAATCAAGGCTTATTAGGGTTTGACTTTCATATATATAAGGGAAAGAAATGAAGTAACAGAGATCATTGTACATTTTCTAAGCAAAAAAGAGAAGTACAAGAAAACTTCAGGAATTTAGAGAAGCATAATGCATTATGTTTTTCAAGAAATACTGTTTAATTAACAATGCTACTCACCATTAGCACAAATATAAACACTTAAGACAAAGGGCGCAGGGTAATTTGTTAGTTGCTATCCGTTACCATTCGGGGAATTAATATTAGGAGAGGAGTTGAACATATATTTAATCTATAAAGTTCTCAAATATCCTAAAACAGTCGCTTATTAAATATAAATATTTAAACATACAGCATTGCACTAATATATGAATATTCAACTGAAATCTGTACTGAAGATCTGATATTTAATGTTAAAATTCCCATGAAATCCTTATTCATAAAATAGCAGAAATTACTTAACATTTATTTGTATAACAAATGAGCATTCAATCAGATGCCATACTAACTGATAAGGGCCAAGGAGGAAAAGAAAAATGATTAGTTCCTGACCCCTAAGGAAATGCTCTGAATTATGTAGATCAATTCTCTGGTTTAACCCCTGCCATGAACTGAATGTGTCACCCCCAAAATCCATGGGCTGAAGCCCTAACCCCCAGTGTCATGATATTGGAGATGGCCTTTGGGAGGTAATTAGGGCCACATGAGGTCATAAGGGTGGTGCCCTCCTAATAGGATTAAGTGGCCTAACTAGAAGAGAGGCAGAGGGGAGGAAGGAGCATGCACCAAGAAAGGTGATGTCTGCAAACCAGGAAAAGAGCCCTCACACGAATTGAACAGCCTGGCACCTTGATCTTGAACTTCTCAGCCTCTACATTATGAAATAAATATCCATTGTTTAAGCTACTCAGTCTGTGTTATTTCAATACAGCAGCCAAGCAGATAAATACAACTTCCTTCTTTTATAATCCATTTTTCACTTAAGATCTTGAAAACACTGGGAAATAATGGGTATTGGTATGAAATACTGTGTGAGATTTTATAAAGTCTAAAATGAATTTAAAACTTTTTTTACTATACAAAACATTGTTGAAATATTTTCTTATAGTTCTTATAGTATAGAGAAGTTTATATTCTAAGACTATACTGGTAATCAAATTTGGCTTAATTTCTCGTTACCCATATTTTATTGAATGGCATTAAAATTCTCAGATAAAAGTTTGGTAAACATATATAACATATAATAATGTAGATCATAATGTTTCAGAATTCAAATGGTCTTATCAAGATATGTAATTACTCACATACGCTAAAATACTAAGAAAAAGATACTCACGTGCCAAGCTCCACCAGGTGGACCTTTACCAAGAACTAAGTGAGGGATGTAATGATGTTGTTCTAATTTCCAATGCAAAACAGATGGATAATCATACCCAAAGTCAGCATCTGGATGAAGAAGTGTGTCGAAAAGTACTGCAACTGGATTGGATGATCGGCCCTCAAGGCCCTCAGACAAGTATTCTAAGTCCTGAATGAATTTTTTTTTAAAAGACAGAAAAAAGGTAGAGTTTCAAGGAAAAAACAAGAAAATAAAGACAAACCAACCCCAGCTGTTGCAACAGTGGAAGCCATTACTCTAATCCAGCATTTCCCACAGAGTGTTGTTGCTATAAAACACTGATGTTCCTTGAGTCATAGATTCTTGATCAAAATGATTATAGGAAAAGACTGGATTTCACCAAAAATATTTAGATCCTTTTACTACAATACTTGAAGATTCATTTAATGCATTAATATGCCTTGGTACGTCCACTGTAGCATTCCAGTAACAAAAAAACAGCACATCCCAAACTTATTTGAACACAGAGCACCTATCAGAGCTCCCACCAGGAAATAATGTGGGAAATTCTGCTCTGATCGATTCAGGAAAAATAAACAGATGACACTTGGCAGAACACATTTACAAACTGAAAGTAAAAATGACAGACAATGTTATTCAGAAGAAAGGATTTTCAACTGAGAAATACAATGCTTATATAAGTAGAAAGCCAACCTTGTTTGAGTATCAAAACAAAACAAAACAAAAAGCAAAAAGATGGACATGGAAGAGAGAATACCTGATCAACAATGGAAAGGTGTCTTGCTTCTTCTAATTTGCTATGTAAGATTGTATTTGGATGTATTGCTTCTGATGAGAAATATGGCCTGTAGCCTGATAACATGTAGGAAAGGCAGATTCCTGAGGGTCCATTTCCTAGTAGAAAAAAAAAAAAGGTGGAGAGAGGCGCATCATGTGTCTCAATAACTCTTATTCGTTGGCATTTCTCCAAGATCCATTTTCTCCCTTACTGATTTGTCTTCCTTCTCTATACTCTTAAAACCAAGTATTCATAAGATACTGACTTTTGTCTTCTCCGTTTTCTTTTGGGATTCTCATCTATTTGAAGCTTTAAGTCTCTATGCTACTGACTCCCCAAATTAAACCTGCAGGCTGGCCTCTTGCCCAAAATTATAGATCCCAAATTTCCAGATGCCACTTCTTCACTCCACTTGAACTACTAATAATTTAATCACAATGTGTTCAAAAGCATATTCATGAGTTCCTTCATTTAGGTGCCCTCTTCTTTACATCCTATCCACTCGCCAAGTTTGATGCTAACAAAATCTTTAATCAGGTTCTGATTCTAAATCTATTCAGTCACTATATCCACTCAGTTGTCTTTTTTAGTGTCATTCCTAGACTCTCAGGAGACAAAGTCCTAAGTGACAAAAGTTTGTCCTAAAGATACAACTATTCCAAAATCATTTCACATTCTACATTCAGATGAATTTTGATAAAACAAAGTTCCTCATCATACTACCCTCTCCATTTGGAAAATCTTAATTGTTTGCTTCTGATAACCCAGAGCTCACCATGTTCTGGTTTCAATCATCTTTCCAAACCCATTTTCTAATAGTATCTTCCTATATTTTTATATGTTTAAAATAAAACCAAACTGGATTTTTTGTTGAATCCTGGTGAACTATTTCCATTTCTGTGGTTTCTTAGTCTGGGTTTCCATTTCTCTCTTTGCTCCATCTACCAAAAATTTAATCCAACTGGGATAAGGGTTAGCTATCAGGAAGAAAATCTTGTTCTATTCTCTAATATTTTGCCCCAAATAAAATAAGCTCAAAGATGTTAATATGAGAAGTAAAGTCATAAGAATATTAGAAAATGGATTCCTACTTCTACTACTTATAGTGCTGGAGTGGCAAGGCTTTAAGCATGACACAAAACTCAAAAGACAGAAAGGAAAGTAAACCATTTGACTTCATAAAAATTCAAAACAAATGAGAAATAGTGAAGTTAAGATCTAAGGGAAAGAGCTAATTTCCCTGAATCAAAAACAAAGAAACAAAACTAAAGAATAAATATCACATGATAACATCAATACAGATAAAAGCACTTAACGAAATCCAACCCTTTTCATGGTAAAACAACAACAACAACAAAAACACCTCAGCAAACTCAAATAGAGGGATACTTCCTTAACTTGATAAAGAGTATCTACAATAAACCTACAGCTAACATCATACTTAATGGTGAAAAACTAGATGCTTTCCCTCTAAGATCAAGAACAAGACAAAGATGTCTCTTCTCATCATTCCTTTTTTTTTTAAGATTTATTTATTTATTCATGATAGATGTAGAGAGAGAAAGAGAGAGGCACAGGTACAGGAGGAGAGAGAAGCAGGCTCCATGCTGGGAGCCCGACGTGGGACTTGATCCCGGGACTCCAGGATCACGCCCTGGGCCAAAGGCAGGTGCCAAACTGCTGAGCCACCCAGGGATCCCCTCATCATTCCTTTTTTTAAAAAATATTGTATTTACTTATTCATGAGACAGAGAATGAGAGAAGCAGAGACACAGGCAGAGGGAGAAGCAAGCTTCATGCCGAGAGCCCAACGAGGGACTCGATCCCGGGTCTCCAAGATCACACCCTGGGCTGAAGGCAGCACTAAACCACTGAGCCACCCGGGCTGCCCTCTTCTCATCATTCTTACTCAACAAACACCGTAATTAGGAGTCGTAGTTAATGCAATAAGAAAAGGAAATACAGACTAGAAAGAAATAAAACTGTCCTTGTTCATAATAGCCATGATTTTCTATGCAGAAAATTCCAAAGAATGGCCCCAAAACTCCTAGAACTAACATCAAGATTGCACAATACAAGGTTAACATACAGAAACCAGGTTCTTTCCTATATACCAGCAATGAACAAGTGGCATTTGAAATTAAATACACAACACTGCTTAGTTTGTGTTGAGATTACTTAACTTGGGTTATGGATCCAATTAAATATATTTAAGATGATAACTATATGTATAAGATATATACAAGGAAAACCACAAAACTCTGAGGAATGAGCCCAAAGTGATGCTCATGAATAAGATTCGATATTGTTAAGATGTCAGCTCTTCTCAACTTGATCTACAGTTTCAATGCAATCCAAGTAAAAATCCCAGCATGTGACTTTGTGGATACAAACTAATTCTGAAGTTTAAATGGAAAGGTGAAAGACTCAGAATAGTGAGCACAATATTGAAGAAGCAAGTCAGGACCAACATCATCCAGAGTCAAGTTGTACCATAAAATTCCAGTCAACAAGACAGTGTGGAAATTATTAAAGAGTAGACAAATCAATGGAATGGAAGAGAGCACAGAGAGATCCTCACAAATACAGCCAACTTATTTTTGACAAAGGAGGAAAGGCAAGCCAACGGAGAGAGGATAGTCTTTTCCACAAATGGTGGAACTGGACATCCATACGCAAAAATACGAAGCTAAATACTAACCTTGCATCTTTTACAAAAATTGACTCAATATATCATACACCTAAATATAAAGCACAAAATTACAAAACTTAGAAGATAAAATAGGGAAAAATCTAGGTGACCTTGGACTTGGTAAGTTTTCAGCTGTAACAGTAAAAGCAGGATCCACAAAAGAAAAAAACTGATAAACAGAATTTCACTGAAACTTAAAATTTCTGCTCTGCAATGGACACTATTAAGAGAGTGAAAAGATAAGTCACACTGGGAGAAAATAGTTGCAAAATGTAACAAAGAACTCTGGAGTCTCAACCATAAGAAAATAAACAATCTAATCAAAGGATCTGAACAGACATTTCAAAGATACACAGATGACAAGAATATGAAAAGATGCTCATCGTGTACGATTACAGCACTGCAGATTAAAACAATGAGGTGCCACTACACACCTATCAAAACGGCTAAAATCCAAAATAGAGACAATACCAAATACTGACAAGGACTTAGAGAAACAGGACCTCTCATCCATAGTTGTTAGGAATGCAAAATGACAGCCACTTTGGAAGACAGTTTGACAGTTTCCTAAAAAGCTAAACAGTTTTAAGATATAATCCAACAGTCATACTCCTAGGTATTTATCCAAATGAGTTGAAAACTTAATGGCTATGCAAGAAGCTACACATGCATGTTTACAGCAGCTTTACTCATAATTACCAAAAACTGGCAGCAGCCAAGATGTCCTCCAGTAAGCGCACAAACTCAAACATCCAAGCAATGGAATGGTATTCAGCGATAAAAGAGAAATGAGCTATCAGACCATGCAAAGACCAATCTTTAAGGCCTACTATTAAGTGGAAGAAGCCAGGATGGAAAGATTCCATACTGTGTAATTCCATGAATATGATACCCTAGATAAATCAAAACTACACCAACAGTAAAAAAGACCAGTAACTGCCAGGGGTTGGGGGTTGAGGGACAGGATAAATACGAGGAGCACAGAAGGCTTTCAGGGCAGTGAAACTCTTCTGTAGGATACTATAACTGTGGGTACAGGAGATTATATATCCAGGATGAAAAACCTGGACTAACGGGAGAAACTGGAACACCAAGCGCAGCCCTGAGATATCCTGGAAGCGAACTTCTACAAACACCATCATCTCTATCCTCACCCTTCAAGAGAAATCCAGGGCAGAACTATCTGCTTACCGCCTTTCCTCCTCCTTCCTCCCTCCCTTTACTGTATCCACCCCACGTCCAAGGACAAGACTTTTCCTTCCTTCCTGTTAATTTTGAAAGAGGCCATCAAGGGCACCTGGGCAGCTGAGTCAGTTAAACATTCAAGTCTTGATTTTTGGCTCAGGTCATGATATCTCAGGGTCGAGGAATCGAGCCCCATGTCAGGCTCCATACTCGGTGGGTCAGTGCTCCCAAACTAAAGGAAACACAGTCTGCTGGAGATTCTCCCTCTCCCACCTTGCAAGGGAACATACACTCTCTCATTCTCAAATACATCTTAAAAAAAAAAAAGGCTATCAAAGAAGCTAAAGAAGCTATATGCCATCAAGGTACATGATGCCCCATAATTCTTTCTGGAAGCTTGCTCCACACTGTGGTACTTGTCTGACTTGCTTAAGTCTGATTATCAGATGCAAGACATATGTAACAGTTAAAAACATGCAACAAAACAAAATCATAAAAATTACATCTATAATTCTGAAGTAATTAGGTTATTATAGCTTAACTTTTAGTATTTTATATGCCTATCTGTTGAGGTGGTACGAAGGATATATGATGAAATCACTATGGTTATGGTCATTATGCATACTACTGCCGAGTACCACGCCGTTCATTCCTGAGAACGAGTTACTTGCACAGGTTACTCAACTTCTGACTATTATTTCCCCCACAAAAGAGGGTTGTGAGGCATAATCCAGTAATGTACACTGCATGCTCAGTACAGGGCTCTAACAGTCTTGGTTATCATCACGGCCATGACACTAGCATAGTAATTAACCCAACTGCTAGTATTTTAACACAATAGGGTAATAGCAATCCTTTAGTGAAAAAAAAATGTTACATTCTAACACAGAATCTAGTATCAGATAAACCAATTACTGTCTCTCCAAAGATCTGGTTATTGGGTACTTAAGCATATCGAAAACTTAAAAATACTTTTCAATATGATCCTAAGAATGTGCGCCATGTAACTATGCATATATAGTAGTAAGGATCATAACTGTAATTTTAAGAGTTAAAATGCAGTACTTACCTATTACTACCACAGGCAAAGTCACCGATGAATCTTCCAGTAAAGAAGTTTCTTCAACTAATGGCATAGCTTTAACTTTCTGTCCCAAGTTATCACCAAAATATTGCACTAAGGAATTAAAAATCTCTCCTTCGGTTTCAGTGTCACTATAGTTTCTTAAAAAAAAAAAGGGGAACAAAAAACAAGAGATATAGTCATTATAGCCTTTATAAAAAACCTGTCTTTATTCAGATTTTCCTTAGGCCCTTAAATATTCAATAGTTCCATAAAAGGAGAAAAGAAAATCCTTCCGATTGATGCATTCAAATTAGTAGCTTAGCTTATCTGTCAATCTGTACCATTTTTAACGTCAGAAATCCTAAATAGCTGCTAATGTCTTATAGTACCACGTAGGCAAGTCCCACACACGTTCTAAATAGGAAGCTAAGATGAAAGAAACAGCATTGTATTGGGGATTTTTACAATTCTCTGAGATTTCCCCAGAATGGCTAATTTCTCTTTTTTTTTTCCTCATTAATAAAAAGGTAAGTGCACTAGAGGCAGTATATTTGGAACAAAATAGTCATATTTTAAGGAAAAGCGAACTGTACTTCTGTATTACAAACTGTGCATTTTGGTAAAAGAAATGAAGTTTATTCATGTTATTGATTTTCAGATGTTGAAATATGGAAACATCTTTATCTCGATTTCCAATCTACCTCCTTTCCCAGGGGCCACCCTAGAAGCTGGTTTGAGCATCCTGACATGCTCATGAAATGGACGGAGTGGCCTCCAAACGCAGTCAATGTGCTTCACTACACTAGTGATGCCTTCCTAACAGAATCCCCAAATTAGTTTTCATCCTTACATAGTCAGCAGCGAGCCAGTACCTGGAAATACTAAACTGAGGGCCCACACGGGTTCAGGTGCTTACTACTGCTCCCAAAATGATAAACACAAGGTGCATCGGTTATTGCACAGGACTCACGGATCCCAGAGGAGAATGAAAAATGGGAAGAATGAAGCAAAGACCAAAATTTCCATTTCCTTATGACTCCCCGGGTCACAGGCTGCCCTATGACAGTGGTGGTCTCTAAGATACGCTAACGTCCACCCCAATTATCTGGACTCCTCTGATGGTGGTGGCCTGGCGGGGCCAGAACGGGCACCCCCTGGACAGGTCTACTAAGGAAGGCCCCTCTGCACGCGGAAGCCTGCTCCTGGGAGAAGGGCCTCATGCTCAATCCATCCCTTTCCGATCATTCCAACCGCTTCTCTAAGCAGATCCAGGTACGCGAGTTACCCAGGCTGCCGATGCTTCTTGGCAACAGAGTCAGGTGTTCTTACACCCAAGCCTATTTCTGGTATTTCTCCTCAATGGGCGCCAAGGACAGATCCCCCAGCTCCCCGTGGACACTTCTGATCAAAGTCCTTTTGGATGCTAAGGCCTAACACAGTGGCGGCGATAAAGGAAAATGCACAGCTCATCGTCAGTCTCTTCCGACAACCTTACGCTCTTGTTCCCAGATATATAACCCAGGAAATTATTTTTTTCAATGATAATCACTCTAAATTTTGGTTAATCAAAGAGATGTTTCTTTCAGACCTTAACATTTCCTCCTTTTCAAGTGCACAATTCAGGGTTGTTAGTGCAATCACAAGGTTTTGCAATCACCACTACTAATTCCAGAAAAATTTTATCACCCTAAAAGTGAACAACTAAGTTAATAGGAATAAACTAAGTTAGCAGAAAACTACAGCACCCATTAAAACTCATTCTCTAGTCTTCCTCACCCAACCCCACCCCTGCCCAGCTAATGGCAACCACTAATTTACTTTCCGTCTTGTTGGACTTGCCGGCTCTGGAAATTTCACATAAATGGAACCTCTCACACATTATGTGGCCTTTTGTGTCAGGCTTCTTCCACTTAGCATATTTTCAAGGGTCACCCATGGTGTAGGATCTGCTGGTACTTCCTCTTTTTTCATGCCTAAGTAATATTTCACTGTATAGATAGAACACAGCTTGTTCATTCACAAACTGATCAACATTTGAGTTGTTTCCGCTTCTTGGATGTGCAAACAATGCTGTGAATGCTCCCGTATAAATTTCTGTGTGGATAAATGTTTTCATTTCTCCTACAAGTACATGCAAAGGCTGTGTCATGAACTCTGTTTAACACCTCAGGAACTGCCGAGATGTTTTCTGAAGTAGCTGCATCATTTTACATTTGCACCAGCAATATGAGGGCTCCAGCTTTTCCACACCCTCACCAACACCTATCTTTTTGTAGCTACCCTCATTGGTGTGAAGTGACCTCTCACAGCAGTTTTGACTTGCATTTCCCTAATGACTAATCATGTTAAGCACCTTTTCACATACTTTTTAGCCATTTGTGTTACCTTCTTTGTAGAAATATTTTCCACCCACTTTCAAGTTGGGCTTTTTATTGTTGGGCTTTAAAAATTATATATGTAGCACACAGGTTCCTTATCAGATGTATGATTTGCAAATATTTTCTCCCATTCTGTGGGTGGTCTTTCCTTTTGTCATATTCAGAATTACAAAAGTTTTGATTTTCCATCAAGTCTGATTTTTTTCTTTAGCTACTGTGCTGTTGGTGTCTAAGAAACCACTGCCTAATCTGACATCACCATGATTTATTCCTCTTTTCTATAAGTTTTATAGATCTAGTTTTTTTAGGTTTATGTCTTTCTTCTATTTTGAGCTAATTTTTATATCACACATTTTGAAGTGTCCAACTCCATTCTTTTGCTTGTGAATATCCATTTGTCCTGGAATCATCTGTTGACAAGACTGTATTTTCCCCTTTGTCTTGTGAACCCATGGGAAACCAACTGACCATAAATATAAAGAATTATTTCTGAACTCTCTATTCCACCTATGTTAATCATTACGCAAGCACCACACTATCTGGCTCACTGTTTCTCTGTAGTAAATTCTGAAATTAGGAAGTGGGAATTCTCTTTGTTCTTTTTCAAGTTGTGTTGGCCATTCTGGGTTCCTTGCAATTCCTTATGAATTTTAGGGTCTTGTCATTTCTGCATAAAAGGCTGCTAGGATTTTGATAAGATTGCATTAAACTTATAAATTAATTAAGCTTATTGCCATTTTAATTAAGAATACTAAGGTTTCCAACCCATGAACATGGGATTGCTTTTATTTAGGCCTTCTTTAATTCTTTTTGATGATGTTTTATAGTTTTTGGTGTACAAGTCTTAAGACTTAGGAATAAGTATTTCATTCTTTTTGATGCTCGCATAAATGGTATTTTTTAACATTGTCAGACTGTTGTTCATTGTTAGTGTCTAAAAGTTGGATTGATTTTTGTATCTTGATCCTGTATTCTCCGATGTTGTTTAATTCATTTATTAGGTCTAGTAGGTTTTGGGTGTGGGCCTCTAACAATTTAACTCTAGTCTATTCCAAGACTCTAATACATTAAGTAGAGCCAAAGTTTTAGCTTATCTGTACAGTGTAAGTAATTTATTCTCATTTTCTTCTGGTTATTAGTATAATCTAGTATAATCTGTACATACGTAATATGTATATAACCTATAATATTATTGGTATGTATGTAATATGCATATAATCTATAATATTGGTATTAACTATTTGTAATAAACTTGCATGGTATTTAATAAATTTAATATGGATTAACAGATGAAAAACAGAATCAAGAGAAGCAAACAAAAAAAAAGAAGTATGGTTCACTGGTTTTACATAAAGCAACAATGAAACAAAAGCCTTCTAGTAAGTAATTTTCCTAAAAAATTCAGAGCCTAAGTTATAATTCGGTATTACTGCACAGGTCTTACAATATGTTTATACTGTATCACAGGTCTATGGACAGTTTCAATTTCTACCTGAGATATCCAATTTGATGAATGTTAGTTTTAAAACAAGTATTTTGAGTAATAAAAAAAAATTTTCCTTTATTTGGGACACTAAGTTAGAAAAATATATAATTACATTTTAGGAAAGAGTAAACAGCACTTTGCACACATGGGAAACAGCTACACTAATAAGCAAAAGACTATCTGATATTTAAGATTTTAGGGAACTGGGATCCCTGGGTGGCGCAGTGGTTTGGCGCCTGCCTTTGGCCCAGGGCGCGATCCTGGAGACCCGGAATCGAGTCCCACGTCGGGCTCCCGGTGCATGGAGCCTGCTTCTCCCTCTGCCTGTGTCTTTGCCTCCCTCTCTCTCTCTCTCTATCATAAATAAATTAAAAAAAAAAGATTTTAGGGAACTTCCATCTTTTGTTCTTGAAATATTATAGTCCAGTCTTGGAACAAATTTAAGAGGATGGCACAAGGGATATAACTTGGGTAACAAAAAGACTTTTCTCACATCTAGCAATACTTCTTTAAATGATCACTCAAACTCAAATGAGAGGCTTAGTATCTGAATTTTTATAGTCTTTAGGAGCATGATTCTAAATTGTCACCAAATTGATACTACTATATATATATATATACACACATATATATATATATATAAAGTTCTAACGACACAAATGAAGTAGTCACACTGTTCATCTTACAAAACTGTAGGTCTGGAACAATGAGTGGACAACTGGAAAGTCAGTGGACAGTTAGCACAAACCTATTCTTTTCTGATATTACGTGAGATCCAAAAGATACAGGTTGTCACAACCTGTTTTAAAATGTGTGTTCCTGTGGATCCCTGGGTGGCTCAGCAGTTTAGTGCCTGCCTTTGGCCCAGGGCATGATCCTGGAGTCCCGGGATCAAGTCCCATATTGGGCTCCCTGCATGGAGCCTGCTTCTTCTCCCTCTGCCTCTCTCTCTGTGTCTTCTCCCTCTCTGTCTCTCATGAATAAATAAAATCTTAAAAAAAAAGTGTTCCTAATAAAATTGCTCAAAAAAAAAAAGACAACCTAAGTAAATCATAAAGCCTTTCCTAAAGAATAGGCCTTATATGTTTTATTTTTAAAATCTGAGATACAATATAGCTATTTTTACAAAGGAAATATGGCTTATTAATCATAATTTTCATCCTGTGACTAGTAAGGCTCGGTTTCCTTTATCCCTCAAGATTGAAACATACCAACTACTTTGTCATCTCCTTCTCCAAACTTCTGTACAAAGAGATAAGCATATGGTATCCACAGCCTAGGGTTGGATGAACGGATATGAATCCCAGTCTGTGTCCCTAGAGTTCAACTACACCAAAAGTGGTCAAAAGGCTTTTGGACAGCAGTTTCTGAAAGGCATCTTCATTTCTCCAAGGGCTTCCATTTAACAAGTTTTCATGAGAGGGAAAAACTCCCCAAAGTGGATCTAATTCTCTCAAATCAATGTCTGTCAAGTAGTCAACAAAGAAAGTTGCCTAAAACTTAAAATCCAGCAGTTTATTACATAGGACATTTTTTTTGTTGTTGTTGTTTTTAATATCCAGGACTTAGAAACCCCTAGAAAACTCACGGAGAAGCTGAGCAAGCCTGGACAGTTGCTTTCTATTAAAACAGGAGTTCTGAACCTTCTCTGTGCCGTATACTCCTCTGCAATTTGGTGAAACCTCTGAGCCTCTTCCTTAAATATTATCATTAAACAAATAAAAGATACATAGGATTTACAAAGAAACAAATTACATTAAAATACAGTCATAAAATGTCAACTTGTGACGTCTATTTGCACGTCTCTATTGTATTAAACAACAAGCTAGGTGATGTGTAATTACGGTAATTTTGAAGAAATAAGCGTACAGTATTTCTAGATCTGTGCAACTGGGATATGAAAATGTCTGTGAATTTTTACTGGTGACAAAGTCACAAATACTCGGGGACCTGTTGCTTACGTTCATAATTGAAAGGCATTTTAGAATTTGGTTAAAGTTCTCAGTTGGACCCTTCTTTACATCCAAGTTCAGCACTAGCACTACCTGAATTCTACCGACGGAATCCAATTCTAAAACCCCCGATCTGGGGCCCCTGGGGGGCTCGGTGGGGGGCTCAGTGGTCGAGCGTCCGCCTTGGGCTCAGGTCGTGACCCGGTCCGGTCCGGGTGAGTCCTGCATCAGGCTCCTGCAGGGGGCCTGCCTCTCCCTCTGCCTGGGTCTCTGCCTCTCTCTGTGCCTCTCGAGAATAAATAAATAAAATATTTAAAAAAAAACCCTCTTGATCGGAGTTTCAGGTCTTGATGAAAATGTCATATATCATCATTCTAGCACGTTCATGTATGTAAAGTAAAATAACGTACGGAAGTCTCCGCTAAGTTTGACATTTCTCACCCCAGGGTTAAACCACCTCCAGGGCCTCCGGTCTCCGGTGACCGACGTCAGTGCCCGCCGAGCCGCCGCCCCGCCCGCCCGGCTCGCACCCTCGGGCTCTAACGCAGGAACCGCCGCCCCACGACTCCGCCCTCAGGGGAGTCCCGGCCGCCTCCGTCGGTCCCACCGCCCGCTACGCCGCGAGCGCCTCGGGCCACGGGACGGGGGGCTCCGCGGGTCCAGCAGTGCCCCCGCCTGCCGCCCGCCCGGTAACCGCGCCTGGGCCGCCCCGTCCCGGCCCCGGGCCCGGGCCCCGCGCGGGGGAGCCCGCCAGCCCCTCGCGGAGGCTTCGCGCCGCTCTCCGGTCGCAGGTCGCAGGAGGCCACTCGCTCCGGGGCTGCCCGCTTTCGGGGTCCCGGGACCCGCACGGTCCCGGGGGAGGGGGAGGGAGGGGGAGAGGGGCTACAGCGGGGAGGAACCGGGAGGCCCCTGCGGTCCCGGCGCTCGCTCTCCAGCCGCACGCGTCCCGGTCCCGGACCCGGCCCCGGTCCCGGTCCCGGTCCCGACCCCGACTCTGCACGTCGCGGCCTCCGCACCGCTGCGGGGCGGGGAAGCGCTCCCCCCGCCGGCCCCGGCCCCTCGGCCCCCGCACCCCCGCCTCCGGCCTTCGTCCCCACCGCCACCGGCCACCGGCCCCCGGCCCCCCCCACCGGCCCCTGGCCCGCATCCACCGCCCCCCGCGGCCCCCGGCCCCCCATCACCCGGCCCACATCCCTCCCGCGGCCCGCAGCCCCCCCACGGCCCCGTCCCTCCCGCAGCCCCCCCGACCGCCCGGTCCCTCCCCCACGGCCCCCGTCCCCCCCCCCGCATCTCCACCCCCGTCCCCCCATCACCGGGCCCGCATCCCCCCCTTGGCCCCCGTCCCCCCCATCCCCCCGCGGCCCGCATCACCCCCCAGCGGCCCGCATCACCCCCCCGCGGCCCGCATCCCCTCCGCGGCCCCCGTCCCCCCATCACGTGGCCCGCATCCTCCCCCCGCGGCCCCCGTCCTCCCCGCATCCCCCCCGCGGCCCCCGTCCCCCCCGCGGCCCCCGTTCCCCCATCACCCGGCCCGCATCCTCCCCCCGAGGCCCCCGTCCTCCCCGCATCCCCCTCCCCCCGCGGCCCCCGTCCCCCCATCACCCGGGCCGCATCCCCCCGGCGGCCCCCGTGCCCCCATCACCCGGCCCACATCCTCACCCCGCGGCCCCCGTCCTCCCCGCATCCCCCCCCGCGGCCCCCGTCCCCCCCCCGCATCCCCTCCGCGGCCCCCGTCCCCCCCGCGGCCCCCGTCCCCCCCCATCACCCGGCCCGCATCCTCCCCCCGAGGCCCCCGTCCTCCCCGCATCCCCCCCCGCGGCCCCCGTCCCCCCCCCGCATCCCCTCCGCGGCCCCCGTCCCCCCCGCGGCCCCCGTCCCCCCCCATCACCCGGCCCGCATCCTCCCCCCGAGGCCCCCGTCCTCCCCGCATCCCCCTCCCCCCGCGGCCCCCGGCAGGGAAGTCACCTGAAATGCCCGGCCAGGGAGCAGCGGCAGCACCACACCGGCATGGAGCGCGGCGCACGGGGCGCCTGAGCGCGACCGCACCGGCCGCCGCCACCGCCCGCCCCGCCTGGGCCGCCCGCTCGGGGCGCCCGCCCGCTCGCCCGGGGTCGCGGGGTCGCGGGGTCCGCGGGGCGCCCCGCGCGTTGCCGTCGCCGCGGCCGCCCGGAAGCTGCGGCTCAGCGGCCCGGCCGGGCCCGGGCGCCCCGAACGCGCCTCGGGAGAGCGGCTTCCGCTGGTCGGCCGCGGGGAGCCCGGCGGCGGAGGCCCATCTGGGGGCGCCGCGCGGGGGGCGGGACGGGGCGGGGCCCGGCGGGGGCGCGCGGGCTCCTCCTCGCAGGTGCGGCGGCGGCGGCGGCGGCGGCGGCGGCGGGCGGGCCCGGCGATTGGTGGAGACGCGCGGGGGGGCGGGGCCGGGCCGAGGGCGGCTGCGCGGGCGGGCCCGGCGATTGGCGGAGACGCGCGGGGGGCGGGGCCGGGCCGAGGGCGGCTGCGCGGGCGGGGCCGAGGTCTGCGCGCCTCCCGCCCCCGCCGGGCTCCGGGGCCTCGGCCTGCACCCCCGCCCCTCTGCGCGCCCCGGGCCGCGGCGAGACCAAGGGAGAGCCCCCCCCGGGACACCCACCTTGGCGCCTTTCCTCGGGGGGCGGCCTGGGCGCGGGCGCTGGGAGCTTCTACACGCTTGGGGCTCCCGACCTGGCCGCGCCCGGGGGGAAACCCCAGACCTCGGGGCCCGGCCTGCACCCCGACGGTTCCGATCGTGCAAGCCCCGCCTGCCAACGGGGGCGCCCCCCGCCCCTGGGAAGGGCTCGCAAACAGGTCACCTGTGCTGCCGCCAGAAGCACGGGGGCTCGGCCCGCCCGCGGCTCCGCGAGCCTGGTCCCCGGCGGCAGAGGGCGGGACGCGAGTGTCCGTCGGGGATGCGAGTCCTACAAGTTAGAGAGCGCCCAGGAATAAAAAAAATATATATAATATAATATAATAAAATAAAGGCGGCGGAAAGCTCCTAGAAGTGGTTGCTCGCAGGTGCTGTGAGGCACAGGTGTCTCGCTGTCCCCACTGCCAAAAAAGCCCAGTCCTCTTTGAAATCGACTTGTAAGATGCACAGTTTCTGTCTTTAGTTTTCTTTCCAAGTTCTCGGTTTTTGCTGAATGTCGTTACCGAACGAGCTTGCACATAGCAGGGGTTTGGGATTCTGTGGAGCTGAAAGGAAAAAATCGTTAGGACTCAACCTGCCCCCAGTTTGATAACACATTTTTTTTTAACAAAAATTTTTTTTTCTCTTCTTGGACTTAACACTTTGACACGTTCATTTCACTTTAATGGTGTTTCGAAAAGGGAAGGATGAAGTTACTTTTCTGTTAATAGTCATAACGTTTTTCCTTTTAAAGGACCTGACTTCCTAAAATGTGTGCCAATCCGGAGAATTGGGATATCTAAAACCGTGAGAATGTTTGTAAGTGCTTTGTGTGATTTTTTCCTTTACGCACTTTGTTTTTCCCTTGGAGTTCTCTTGCAGTATTTCAGATCAGATGGCAGAGCGGGCGTTATCAAATTTTAGGTTCAATCCGGTTTGTATTGAAAGCTTGTGAACTTGCTATCAAGGGTTTACGCTTTATAAAGGTTTAGGATTGAATCAGGCCACGATGACTACGTAGAGGATTCTTCTTACAGCTAAGGGGACATGTCAAGAGTGTTTGCGTTTTTATTTTGAATTGTAGGTGAGGTCTTACTTCCATAGAAAATCCAGGTTTTATCATTAAAAAAATATGAATGGTAGGTGAGGTTGTGGGGCAACAGACTCAGATATAGCTGGTGAGAATGTAGATTAGTGTGTAATCCAAGACTCCCTCGCCTGCCCAGTAGAACCTCAGTTGACCTGTCAGTCCTCACACTAGCGTGTTGAGGGTGCAGCTCATCTCACACCAGTCGCCTGGCCACTCCACAGCACCTCCTGGGCTCCCAGCATTACCCAGTTGTAGGCTCCCTCCTGCACAGCTCTTCTTACTGGTATGTAACGTGCCTGTATGTCATACGTTTCATTTGAACATAGTGGCTCCAGGGACTGTCTGTTGGACTCTTCACTGTGCCAGCTAGGTTGATCTTGGACAAGTGACTGAGCATCTCTGGGCTTTGATTCCTCATCTATTATGAACTTAATTTCATTGGTTGTAAGGATTAAATAAGAAAACACTTAAAAAAGCACTTAACACAGCGTCTGGCTCATGTTAATCACTGAATAAGTGTTTTCATTATTACCAATGATAACATTGTAAGATATTTTTACATTTTCTTTTTTTAAAGATTTTATTTACTCATGAGGGAGAGAGAGAGAGAGAGAGAGAGAGAGAGAGAGAGAGAGAGAGAGAGAGAGAGGCAGAGACACAGGCAGAGGGAGAAGCAGGCTCCATGCAGGGAGCCCGACGTGGGACTCGATCCTGGGACTCCAGGATCACACCCTGGGCTGAAGGCGGCACTAAACTGCTGAGCCACCCGGGCTGCCCTATTTTTACATTTTCTAAAGCAGAAATCCAGAAAGCTTGGATTGAATTGTGCCCCTTGCCAGACTCCTATGTTGAAGCCCTAACCCTCCTCCCCGTGTGACTATGCGTTCAGATAGGGCCTGTGAAGAGGCAATTGCGGTTATATGAGGTCATAAGTGTGGGACTCTAATCCAGAAGAGCTGGTACCTTATAAGAAGAGGAGCTTTCTTCTTCTGCCAGGAGAGGGTGGTAAGCCGGGAAGAGCCCTCATCAGGAACCACATTGGCAGGCACCTTGATTTCAGACTTCCCAGTCTCCAGAATTGTGAGCAAATGTCTGTTGTTGAAGCCACTCAGTCCACGGCATCATATTATGTTAGCCCCAACTCACTAACACAGTATGTTTTTGCATCTTCTAGAAGCAAACAAAAAAATGTTAATGGAGACTATTCAAAATAAATCATTGCATTTCATAAACTGCGTCATCTATCAATGTATCATCTCGTGAGGCAGTTTGGTAGTGTAATGTTCAGTTTCAGAGTGTTCAAGAAAACATTCTAGAAAAACAGTTCCTCCTTTATTGAAGCCCTCGGCAGCTCAGATACCTCTCAGATTTCTTATCCTCAAGCCTATCAGTGCTTTTGGGTACAGGGAATACCTCTGTTGAGCTGTCAGTTTGGAAGTCTTACCCATTCAATTCTACATTTTGATGGCAAATGGTATGAGTGCTTTCTTGACTACACAGGAAACTGGGGGCAGAAGCTGGGGCTGGTGACTTAAAGTTGGTTCCTGCAGTTTGAACTTAGGACAGAGAGAAAAATACCAAAGAGGCTGCTTGCTAAAAATACAATTTTTGTGAATTTTTGTAGCAGGTTCTGTTGCAGAGAACAGAAATCCTGAATTCACGCTAGCTGCATTAAGGAAGAAAAAGGAATTTCTTACAGGGTATAAACATGTTGCAGAATCCTAGGTAGACTGAAGAAACTGTTAGAAGCTGAGAAAGAATACTCAAAGTCACAGTGAAAGGGCAAGCCACCAAGGGAGCTGCTGCCTCTCTATGGCCAAGATGCCGCCTGCCAAATCGGCTACTTTGGCTACAGCTGCTGATTCCAGAACTGTACCTGGCATTGCAACACTATTTCTTGTCTGTCTCCCTCTTCTACAGAGAAACTTCAATTTTCTGTTCACGGTGATCCACCACAGCACGGAGGACAGATCTCGGCCTGTAGTAGGATAAGCACATAGCATCATAGGTAACGCTCATCCAGTAAACCCCAGGGCTGATGCTGGCTAAGCCTTCCGTTCAAGGGAAGGAGGAAACGTGTGTCACAACTCATTTGTCTGTTTCATTCCCTGTAAGGGCAACTTCTAGATTCTATTTGCACAACGACAAGACTAGAGAAAAGGGGAAACGTAGAGAATGAAGAGTAGTCAGAAACCGTGACCAAAAAGATAGAGTCATACAGAATTAATCAAGTTTTCAACATCGAAGTTGTTGGTCCAGAATAGAAGGTCCAGAAAGAGCAGAGCAGATGGTTGGATGAAATTTGCAATGAAAAAAAAAATTCAGAACGAAAAGGAGACATGAGTCTGCAAACGTAGAAGTTCTACTGAATCCTGAGAAGGAGAAAAGAAAAAGTCTGCATGGAGCAGATCTTACAACGTAAGGCTAATGAGAGTAAAACGATTGTAAAAGCTTCCCGGGAGCAAGCACAGGTCCTCCACGAAGGGAAGAGAAGCAGGCTAGCAGTCGGCTAGCTTCCCAGCCGCAGGACTGGCTCTCTGGAGCCCCACAAGCCTGACTCTTCCATGGGAAAGTGAACTTGGAATTCCAAACCAAGCCAAACTATCAATAATTTTGGTGGGGCGCCGGGGGGGTGGAGAGGTTGTAGAATGAAAAAGAAAGACGTAAACTGAGAAAGCTTCCTTTCCCAAATACTGTTCTTTGGGATGTTACCTGAGAATGTGTACTGGCAAAACAAGGGAATTATCCAAGAAACTGGAGCAGGTTGGCTGTCTGGACCACAGGACCAGCTCAGAAAGGCAACGAAGCCAAGTCCCAGGATGACCGGGCAGCGGGCCCGAGAGCCACCCATCGGAATGGACAGGGACCTCAGGGCTGCAGAAGAACTGCCCAGGAAAAGAAAGGAGGCCTTCGATGTGACAGGTGTCCTGGAAATGTTGGAAGAACCTATCCTGATGACACCACGAAAGCAGACAATGCAAGACGAAAACACAAAGGCCATTAGAAGCCAAGAGGGGGTAGGAACGTAGGACTAAAAGTTTACAAAAGCACAATATAGTCATGGAAGACAAGTCACGTGGGCAGAGGACCATGGTTACGTAGACATAAGCACTACTCACTAATTTTCACATTTACGCTTCGCCTAGAGACAAGGCAGGAATCTCTTACCTAGGGTTGCAAAATGCATTTTAAACGTTCATCATGATCATGTAAAGAGAGCAAGAGAGATGAAGGGGAAGCTATGGGTACAATAGTCTTACTTGGCGAAGTCATTGAAACTTATCATACTGCTCGTAACTGAAACAAGAAATACGATTTTAAGATTATTATTCAACATCACGAAAGTAATTAATGGAAAAGCTAACA